AACACATATGGACAAAACGTCCGATCTTTGGGGTGGTGCTCATGACGGGTGGGATAGAATAGCCTGAGGTCCCCACAGCTGATTTATATAGCTTGGACAGCAAATACTGCTTACTACTAGAGGCTGCCTGCCCATGCCTAAGAATAGCTTTTTACAGCATGAGGAAAGGTGACAACCGGCCGAAGATGTGGCTGCACAGTTCAAGTGTCACGGAGAAAGGTCATTTTCTAAGTTAAGCCAGGTAGCCCGCAAAGCTTTACCTTTCCCTTGTACAGAATGACCGGGCAAACAAATCGTCCTCTGCACCTCGCCATCTTACTCCGGTTGATGAGGTCCTGCAGCTTGCCGACCTGCACAGTGCTCTCCAGCCTGTGGGACAGAGATTCAGTTCAGTGCTCAGAGCATCTTCCCACGTCTTCCAGCACCCCGGGCTGTAATCCCCATCCCTTGGGCTCAGAAGCCAGCTCTGAACTCAGCAAGCAAGGGGTTGTTTCTTTCAGAATTGTTTGCACAACACGTGTGGACACTTCCCTGCCTTCTCTGTGTTTTGAGAGACCAGCTCAGGAGCAGCAACGTGCTGGCACTACGAGCACGGTCTGCTTCAGGCACACGTGTGGCTTATTGGCGAAGGACGGCCACAGTAAGCCAGTGTCTGCAAAAATTGAGTCTGCTTTCCTCTCCACCACCCTTCTGTCAAAAAGAAGCTCAGCACTAGTGACTATCAGCAGGAATTTTGCAAGCAAAAATAAATAAAATAGAAAATTAAAGCCTGAAAACTTGACGAACCTTAGTTCTGGTCACATGCATCGCCGGACAGTTAGCCAGCTCCCTGTAAACTGCCTGGTGGGTTGCAGAGGGGAGTTAGATTCATGTCAGCTGCATCTGAACAACTGCATTTTATGTTCTTCGGGTTAAAGTAAAACAGAAATGTGTTTTGGAAACACATTTTGGAAGCAACTTACTGCTGTAATTTTTCCAAGTACCAGCCTAAACTTGACAGGAATCCAAGCTGCCACCTGCACTGACCGTACCTCCCGAAGGGCTGCGTACCTCAGAGGAGGACTGGAGCTCCCACAAGGAGCTCTAGAAGTGCCCAGACCGACAAAACAGAAGCCAGATGAAGTCCAGTCACAGAGAAGTGCACGATCAGGCACTCGGAGATGATTAACAAGAATTTCCAGTTGGCCCTTTCCAGCAGCAGAGCTCAGCACGAGCACTGAGATGAACCCATTGATCTCTGGATGCCCGTAAGTTATCGACCTACCAAGTCTTACAAAAGGGACAAATACGATCGTGGGAAGCTCTCCAGCGGGACTGAAAGGTAGCAGCATTGCTGTGCAGGGCACCCAGGAGACCCACACGTGCGCGGGGAGGCACAGAAGCCCCCAGGGATGGCCAGGGGACAGTGTGGGGCAACAGAACCTGCCGCGGCTTGAGCGGCTCAGCAAGTGGAGATTAAGTGAGGACACAGCAATACGGGCACTCAGGTGTGTACAAGGACTAGCAACAGAGAGGGAGAAGGGCTTAAAGGCAAAGAATAATGCTAGGCTGGAGAGAAATTAATACCTGCATGCTAGAAATTAAAAGAAAGTTTCCAGGCTTCAGCATCAGTGAGAGCGTGGAGCAAGCTACCTACAGCAGGCGTTCAGCAAAGGATTAGAAAATCCTCATTAACGTGGAAACCGATAGGTTTGTGGGAAAGGTTACGGGAGGTGCTGCTGGTGGAAGCAGGGAGACAGCAGGAGTTCAAATCCCACATTTTTAAAACAATTTGATTCCCACAATTCATAGCTGAAGCTTTGTGTTTTTTTTCATGTGTTTCCCTACAGATGGAACAACTTCCTCCGGCTCCAAAAAGCTTTGACATTTCCTTGAATTTACAGAGTAAGAAGCCAAGCTGGTTTTTAAACAGCACGGACACAGGGGCACCAGGAGCACAGCCGGGGCAGTGCCAGCACCGTACCTGTGCCAGGCAGCAGCACGCGACACCGTGTGCAGGCAACGGGCACAACCCGAGCTGCTCGTCCTCGGTGCTGCATGCAGCCAGGAGCTCTGCTCGGCAGGATTTCCCTGCTAGCACGCCCTCCTCAGAGAGCACGCCAGTAACACACGCTGCAGGAACATCATAAGGCTGCCTGGGACCAGGTGAAGAGAGGTGGAAGAACGCCATGCGCCTCAGCTCCTAATTCTCGGGATTTTTTAGAAGATACTGCCGGGCATCCTTACTCCTGTGTTAATTCTCTTGCTCCAAACCAGCCCCCCAACCCGGATTTCTCTTTTTAAAAGCAAGGGGAACATGCCCTGTAGGAGCACACAGCCAGGCGCCCTCTGCTACTTTCTGCAGCTCATTGTGAGCCAGCACCGAGCCAACGGGCACCCAGCTCCTGGGGCTGGTAGCCACAGACACACCGAATTCCTCCCACGCCTCCGCTGCCTTGATCTCAGAGCGCAGGCGGCCAAGCTGGAGGAACACCTCAGCAAGACCATTTTACCCCCTTCAAGCTGCCCAGACACCGAGTGAACAGGGCCAGGAAACCGAACTGGGTTTCAAACAGCCAGTTTTTGCTAGTTCCCTACAGAAACAGCTGCACCAGCAAAACCGACGGGGTGGCAGTGCAGGGTTCACACGAGCTGGAACTGCTTCCAAAAAACGTGGCGCTCTCAGAGGTAAGAAGTGTCTCGTGCACTTCAAGGAGCTCTTACTGGCTGAATAACAACATTACAAAGGTGAAAGGCAGCCCGAGACACCGGCTGCTAGAGGGACTGGCCCGTTCACTGGAAGAGGTTCTGGCGTTCTGCACCACAAGAAGCGCAACGTTCTCCGTATCGCTCGGATTTGTTTGGGATTGCAGAATTATTCCGCAGAATACCACGGTGCAACCAAAAGCTGGGTTCGTGGAGAAGGAATCGAGCAGCTTTTACTGAGGCTACTGCCCAGAAATCAGAAGGAACGGGGTGGTGGAGGGCAGCCTGCTGCCGGGACTCTCTGGGACAAGAAATCAAGACTTGAAAACGAATTGATATTTGAAGTGGTGACTGTCACTGCTGGCTTGCAGAGTCTCAGGAGAGAGCAGGACCCTGAACGCGAGCACACTTGTTGGGGTTACTCTGCCTAAGTGACTGCTGCTCTTGCGAGAACAGGGAAAAAGAGAAGTGTTTGCTTTCTCTTCCCTAAAGACCCTGCTGGCTGCGTTTCCAGCTGCTGACTTCTCCTTCCCTCCTTTCTGCAGCGAGGGGTTTCATTTCTTCTCATCGGATCTAACCCGGCCTCAAGCAGAAATGCCCTCACCTGACAGCCAGCTGGGGCTGTTTTCCTGACCCCACCACCTCCAGCACCCACAGCAGGCACCAGCTGATGGATTCCTTCAGCAGGAACCCGTCACTGCCGCGGTGGGAATGTGGCAACCCCCAGCCTTCGAGCACCCTGCTCTTGTCACAGCCAGAGTTAAAACCCCAGAATTGCGTTACGTTTTGTTGGAACAGGGGGGGAAAAAAAAAAAAGGGGCTGTTTTTACAGCCATGGGGAGCTGATAGCGCTCAGCCACGAGTGTAAACACCGCGGTTCTGAGCTTCGGGGTCGAAGTCCAGAAATGTGATCGCTTCGACCACGCTGCGCTGCGAGGAGCCTCCCTGCTGGTTACTGAAGCCGAGTGCCACGGCTCGTGGTGCGGGCACAGCACAGTGCTGAGGTTGTGTCCGTCTGTCTGTCCTGTCCCTGTGGGGATCCCACCCCGAGACCCTGTCCATGCTAAGGTCTCTCTAACCATAGCCCTTCTAACGAGACCACGGGTGCTTGAAGAAGACCAGGCAAGCACCCCACAGCCCTGAGCCCGACCACAAGCTCTTTGCGTGTCCGGGACGGGGAAATCACGGTGCCCCACGGAGCCAGCAGGGTGCTGGGACCTGCACAGGCCAGCGGGGCAGGGCTGGGGCACCCCACTCCCCCCGGCTCCCTGAGCTCAGCCCGTGTTAGGACAAACACCACGGCGAGCAGGGAGCCGGGCAGGGCGCTGCAATTCCCGGGGAGCACCTCTAATTACCAGCAACCCCACGGGGGGGGGGGGGGGGGGGGACACAAACCACGAAGCCATCCCCGTGCGGGACACCCCAGCGGGGCTCACAGGAACAGCGGGACAGGGACGGGGACAGGGAAAAGGAACCGGGACACGGACCGGGTGGTGGTGGGGGGGGGGGTTCCGGGGCCTTACGGTTCACGGGGGGCGGCGGCGTCTCTCTCGAGCAGGACGATGTGCCGCGGGTAGTGGGCGCACACCTCGCCGTGCGCGTTGGGGATGACGCTGTAGCGGTAATCCCGGCCGAACAGCTCCAGGCAGCGCCGCTCGATCCGCTCCACCTGCGGGCAGCTCCCGTCAGGGCCCGCACCGGGGCCTGGTGCGTCCCCCGGTAACCCCCCCCCCAGCTCACCTTGGCGGCAGCCCCGCCGCCGTCCTTAGCCCGGTACTGTGCTCGGGAGAACTCCAGCAGCAGCTCGGCCAGGCCGCGGTCCCCGGAGCCCGCCGGGGGGGGGCAGCCGCGGGCCGCCGCCATCTCAGCGCCGCCGCCGCCGCCGCCCCATGGCGCCGCTTCCGCCCGCCCCGCGCCGCCGCCGCCGCCGACTTCCGCCCGGCCCCGCCCAAGCGGGCGTCGAGCCTCTTCCGCCAGGAGATGACGTCATCGCCGGGCGCCGTTAGCAACGGGCGTCGAGCTCTGAGGGGAGGGAGAAGGGGAGGGGGGGGGAGCTCCGTGCCCGGCGCCCGCTCCGGGCTTGCCAGGACCCCCCCGGGCCTTCCCCGCGGCACCGCGGGGCGTGAGGCCGAGCGGGGCCTCACAAACCGTGACGGGGCCTCACGAACCCGGCCGGGACCTCACGAACCCTGCCGAGTGTTCCCGAGCCCGGCCGAGTGTTCCCGAGCCCGGCCGAGTGTTTCCGAACGCAGCCGAATCACCCCCGACCCCTTCGGGCCCTCCCGACCCCTTCGGGCCCTCCCGGACGCATCCGAAGCATCCCCGAACCCTTTCGGCTCTTTCCGATCCTTTCCGAACCCCTCCGAACGTTGCCGAGGGGCGGGGCCGAGCTGAGCCGAAGCCGGGGCGGGCGGAGCCGAAGTTTGCCGAGGCGGGGCCGAGCTCCGCAGTGGCGGCGGCGGGGAGGGGAGGGGGGGGCGCAGAGGCGGCAGCCAAGATGGCGGCGCGGGTGGCGCAGGGGCCGGCGGCCTCGGGGCTGGCCTAGGCCGCGGGGCTCCCCCTCTGGCGACCCCCGGCCCTTGATAAACACCCCCACAGCCCCCCACACGCCCCCCTCGCACCTCACAGCCCGGTTCGGGGGCTCCTCGCGGCGGCTCCCCCCCCCCCCCCCTCTCCCCGTCAGGATGCTGCCGTCGCAGGAGGCCTCCAAGCTGTACCACGAGAACTACGTGAGGAACTCGCGGGCCATCGGCGTGCTCTGGGCCATCTTCACCATCTGCTTCGCCATCATCAACGTGGTGGTGTTCATCCAGCCCTACTGGGTGGGCGACAGCGTCAACACCCCCAAACCGGGCTACTTCGGGCTCTTCCACTACTGCGTGGGCTCCGGGCTGGCGAGCCGCGAGCTGGCGTGCCGCGGCTCCTTCACCGACTTCAGCACCATCCCCTCGGGGGCCTTCCAGGCCGCCGCCTTCTTCGTGCTGCTCTCCATGGTGCTGACGCTGGGCTGCATCACCTGCTTCGCCCTCTTCTTCTTCTGCAACACCGCCACCGTCTACAAGATCTGCGCCTGGATGCAGCTGCTGGCAGGTAGCTGGGGGTGTATGGGGGTTTAGGTTTCTTTTTGGGGGGGGGGGTCTGCAGGGGAGACAGGGGGGTTGGGGGTGCTTCAGGCACTCTAAGGGGTTGGAGGGTCTTTAGGGAATGAGGGGGGTTGGAGGGTGTTCAGGTACTGGGGGGTTGGGGGGGGTTGAGGGTTTTGGGGTGATTTTGGGGGTTCTTCAGGTGCTGAGTGGTTTTGGGGGTTCTTCAGGTATTGGGTGGTTTTGGGGTTCTTCAGGCACTGGGTGGTTTTGGGGGGTTCTTCAGGCATTGGGTGTTTTGGGGGCTCTGTGGGTACTGCGTGCTTTTGGGGGTTCTATGCGTGACTGGGTGGTTGGGGGGGTTTGAGGGTATTGGGGTGTTTTTGGGGGTTCTTCAGATATTGGGTGGTTTTGGAGGTTCTTCGGGCACTGAGTGATTGTGGGGGTTCTTCAAGCACTGGGTGTTTTGGGGGCTCTGTGGGTACTGCGTGCTTTTGGGGGTTCTATGGGTGACTGGGTGGTTGGAGGGTTTTGAGGGTACTGGTTGCTTTTGGGGGGTACTTCAGGCACTGAGTGATTTTGGGGGTTCTTCAGGCACTGGGTGTTTTGGGGGCTCTGTAGGTACTGCGTGCTTTTGGGGGTTCTGCAGGCACTGGGTGTTTTTGGGGGTTCTACGGGTGACTGGGTGGTTGGGAGGTTTTTAGGGTACTGGGTCTTTTGGGGGTTCTCCAGTCACTGTGTGCTGTGGAGGTTCTCCAGGCACTGAGTGCTTTCTGGGGTTCTGTGGGTTACTGTGTGGTTATGGGGTTTTGAGGGTATGGGGTGTTTTTGGGGGGTTCTTCAGGCACTGGGTGCTGTGGGGGTTCTTTGGGTACTGGGTGCTTTGGGGTTCTTCAGGCACTGTGTGTTTTGGGGGTTCTGTCCATTACTGAGCGGTTGGGGGGTTTTGAGAGTACTGGGTGCTTGTGGGATGCTTCAGGCACTGAGTGTATCGGGGTTTCTGTGGGTGCTGCGTGCTTCTGGAGGTTCCTCAGGCACAAAGTGATTTTGGAGGCGCTCCAGGCACTGAGTGTTTCGGGATTCTGCAGGATACCGGGTACTTCTGAGACTCTTCAGACACTGGGTGTTTTGGGGGTTCTCCTGGCAGTGCATATTTTGGGTGCCTCTCCAGGCATTGAGCGTTTCGGGGTTTCCCCAGCCACTTGGGACCTCTCGAGGCACCAGCAGCACCGGGGCACCCCCGGACATCCGGCCCTAAAACCTTCCCCCAGCCGCCAGCCCTGGGGCTCCCCCAGGCACCGGGAGCCAGCACCGGGTTCGGCCGCACACCGGGGCCAGGGACGGCTCCGGACACCGTGGGCTCACCCCGGTCCTGGCTATGGGGTCCTGGGCCAGCAGCAGCAGCAGCATTAGGGCTTCTCGCAGCCCCAGCACGGGGACACGGCCTTGGGGTGTGCTGTGGGACACCCCAGGCAGGGTCTGGCTTTGGGAAGCCCTACAGCAGGAACCAGAGTCCCACAACAATCCCAGTGCCAGAACCCCGCTGTGACCCCCCAGAAGGGTCCCTGTGTGGGTACGGGGCCATTTGGGGTCTGCCCCGGTGCTGGGGGCTCGCAGCTGGCCTGGCCCCGTGCCCTGCAGCAGGCGTGGTGTGGTGGTGATCCCCGCCTCTCCTCCACAGCCGGGCCTGGAGCTGCCTCGGCTTATCGGGGAAATTCCTTCATCTTTAATTTTCCCCGGCCCGAAGATTTACCGGTTTAAGGCAAGCTCAGAGCCCAAATCCCACTGATCGGCAGCAGTTTAATCAAGGGGCTCGGCACGCCCGGCTGGTGCCGCTGCGTGGGGGTGGGCACAGCCCCCAGGCAGCACCGGGATCTCTCCGGCAGCCTCCTGCCTGCCCTGGTCCCTGGGTGCGGGGACACCGGGTGCCTCCTGAGGGCCACAAACCCCAAAAGCTGCTGCGTGGTGGCAGCAGCGGGTCGGGGAGATGCTGGGGCCGGGCAGGGGCACGATGGCAAGCTTTGGGATGAGATGGGTGGGGGTTCCTGTGGTGCGAGGGGGAGCAAAGAGGGAGAGGAAGGAGAGGAAGAGGTGCAGAAGCAGCAGCGAGGGCTGAAGTGTCACCAAAGGCACAAAAAGGAGGTGGAGGGCAGGGAATGGGGGCTCCGCGGGACAGAACGGGGCTGGCAGCAGTCGGGGAGGAGGAGAGGAGGGCCTGGAGTGCAGCACCTCAGCCAGGGAGAAAAAAAAAAAAAAAAAGTTTAAATCTTCAGTGCCCAATTAGTGGACGGCAATCAGGGAAGGGTTTAATTAGAGCTGCGCAGAGAGCCCCAGCTCCAAAGCCGCTGCCCCCCTAGGAGCAAACTGGATCTAATTAAGAGGAAGGACTGATTGTCGCAAACAGAGCCCGAGCCATCTGCCCCGCTCGCAATCCGGCGGCGCGGAACTGCAGAGCTCGCTAAATCCCAATCCCTCTGTTACAAAACCCCAAATGCCTCGGGCACGGGGACTTCTGGGGTGGCTGCCCTCGAGGCGCAGCCGCGTGCCCGGCGTGTGCAGCCCCCGGCAGCTGAGCAGGGCAGTGGAGAAGGGCCCCCGGCACCCCGGTGGGGGCAGCGAGGCCATTCCGGAGCTGGTGCTGCCGCTGCGTGTCGGAAGCAGGGTTATTTATAGCCCGCTTCGGGGACTCCCCGAGCACGGCCGCATGTGCCGGGCAGGGGACGAGCGTGGGGGCAGCGCTCACGGAGCCCGAGGCACGGGGCTGAATTCCCTGCAGGTAACTCGTTTTGGCAGGATAACGCAGCCCGCGAGAGGCACGTTCGTTTGACAGGACCCCGACAGGGGAGGAAGCGTGGAAGCACGACACAAAACCAAGCGGGGAGCGCCAGATCCCCCAGCACAAAGCCTCACTGAGCAGGCACCCTGCAGGCACTCAGGGCAGGAGGGGACAGATGAGCTGTTCTGAGTGGAAAAGCAGCTTTCCCTGCAGGTCTGCGAGCACCTGCGGGCTGTAGGGGCGAGGTGGGCAGGCAGAGCCCCCTCCCTGTCCCCTTCAGTTTCTGTTTCCTTCAGGAAAGGTCGGGCTGGCGGCGCGGGAAGGCGCTTCCAGGACATGGGGTGGGCTGGGGACACGCAGGAGAGGGAATAGCTCGTGACAGGGGATGTGGTGTGCTGCTGGGAGCGGGCGGGACGTGCGGCCGTGTCCCTGCCTTCCCCACGGAGCGCTCGGTGGCGTGCCCGACGTGCCCAGCACCCTGCCCAGCACCCTGCCGTGCCCCGCGCTCACTTTCCGAGGGGCCCTTTGTCTCTGGGGCACGTACAAACCTCTGAAACGTGTCCTGACACAGGACAAAAATACTCACCGGATGCCTCAGCTTCTCAGCGACGCTATTAACAGCTGAAGAAACCCGCACCCAGGCGTTGCTGCTGGCCCCAGCTGTGCTGGGCCAGCTCCGGGGCGCACACACAGCCCTGGGGGACCGTGGTGGGGGCTCCCTGCGGGCACGGGCACAGCAGGCAGGGGATCAGCTGCTCCGGGATGCAGACCCCAGCCCTGCCATCTCCCTTCATGCCTGCCCTCTGTCCCGCAGCTCTCTGCCTGGTGCTGGGCTGCATGATCTTCCCCGACGGCTGGGACGCGGAGACCATCCGGGACATGTGCGGGGAGAAGACGGGGAAGTACTCCCTGGGCGACTGCTCCGTGCGCTGGGCTTACATCCTGGCCATCATCGGCATCCTCAACGCCCTCATCCTTTCCTTCCTGGCCTTCGTCCTCGGCAACCGGCAGAACGACCTGCTGCACGAGGAGCTCAAGACAGAGAGCAAAGGTGGGCGCCGCGCTGCCGGGGGGGGTCCTGGGAGGGCAACGACACCGCCTGGCGTGGTGGGGAGCAGGAACTAGGCTGCTGAACCCCGCCCCTGCCCTGCTGACACGCTCTCTTTGTGTTTTGACAGATTTTGTCGGCACCGCGGTAAGTCCTGAGTGTCACCGTCCCGTCCCCTTACCCACACGTGGCGTGTCTGTGTGTGACCGTGCCGGGCGGCCCCACGGGGGTTGGGGGCAGCGGGGTGGGGGCAACCCCGTGCATGGCACAGGCAGCAGCCGCCCGGTGCCACCCCCCCGGGCTGTGGTGCCCGACGCGCTGTGCTCTCCCCACAGAGGATATAAGGCCGAGCGCCCGCAGCAGGACCCTCCTCCCGCGGCCGGCAGCCTGGGCGCTCCCTCCCCGTCCCGCCCTTCATCTGCTGCCGGCGGCCACGCAGCGCGCCGGGGACACGCCAGCCGCCCGCCGCGCCCACGGCCACGCCGGCACCGCCATCCCCACGCACCCCGCCAGCCCCGCACCTCCACCACCCGTGGGCCACCACCGCCGCCGGGGAAGGATGCCCCAAACCTGCTTCGTCCGAGAACGGCGTCAAACTGCGGTTTCATTTCGAGGAAAAAAACAAAAAACAAACAACATCTCAGAGTTTTTAACAGATTTCTACATCCCCAGGACTCCAGACCTGCTGCCTCCCGCCCCAACGCGTGCCCCGTGACGCCCCGCGCCGGCTGCTCTGGGCCCCAGCACCTTCCCCGCTCCCATTTTGTACAGCTCCGTGATCCTGTCTCCACGGCCGGGGGGACCCGGTGGCCGGGCCGGGGCCTGCCCGTACTTTTACGTGTAAATTAATATTCTCTAAACAGGGTAAAGTGACTCGAGCCCCCTCGCCCCCAGCCCAGGAGTCCAGCCCCAGGACCTCACGCTTTCCGGTGCCGCTGGGGCCCAAGCGTGGCGACCTGCAGGGGCCTCACTGCCGCGACGCCCGACTCGTGCCACCGCTGAATGTAAGCCCTGGTAAGTGGGAGCAGCTGAAAAACGCAACCCCCCCAGGGTGGGCACAGGAGGAACCCCCCCAATCCAGCCCCGGCCGCTGCCAAACGCCTCCCCCCATCCCCATACGGTGCTTTATCTCCACTGGTGACAGCGAGGCTCTCCCCGTGGTGCCCCCTGGTTGCACTTCGCTGGCACGCGGCCGCGGGGAGCCGAGGGCTCGGTCGTGCAGCACCCAGCAGCCGGCACCCACGCCCCGGCCGCGGCTCTGCTGGCCAGACCAGCGCGGGGGCTTCCCCACGCGCCCGCCGCAGCCCTCGCAACGCAATAAAGTCCTCAGCACCGGCCGCGGAGCTGGTGACAGGGGCACGAGGCCGCGTGGGGGGCTCTGGAGGGACAGGCGGCGAGGACGGGTACGGGAGAGGGGCTGCGGAGCCGGGGCGAGGGGTGCAGCTGCGCGGTGGGAACGCTGCCGGGACGAGGCGATGAAGGGCTGTGCGGGAACCGCCACCCGGCGCGCCCGGGGCTGGCGGAGCCGGTAAGTCGTGCCCTGAGACCCTGCGGGGTGGTGGCAAGGGACGGAGCTGGAGCCATGCTGAGACCCCGAGCGGGAGCCCAGGGCCTCCCCCCACTGGGGACGTCGCGGGTGCTGGCGCTCCCCCCGCAAGCAGCCGCTGTCTGCCACCGCCCCGCGGCCCCCAGCGGATCGGGAGCGCTGTCGCTGGCTGAATTGGAAAACAAACCAAGAAAAATCAGTGGAGAAAGGAATACAGTAGCTGTAATATATCTGTATTTTAGTACAAAGTTTGATACAGTGTTTCACAAAACCTTATTGAAAAATATAATTCAAATCAGATGAGCTCTGAGCCCTGTGGTGTGGTGGGGAGCGGGACGGGAGCTGCTGTCAGCCCCAGGTGGGGAGCACGGGACCGAGCCTCCCCCGTGCGGGGGGCAGAGACCACTGCAGGTCCCCTGGGACAGCTCTGTCCCCAGCACAGGTCCCCTGGGACACGGCTGTCCCCAATGGGAGCGGGAGGTCGGGGTCCCGCGGGTGGGTTGGGGAGTTTGCTGCTACCTGAGGGAGATGCAGAGGTGGGGCCAGGCTCTTCTCAGGGACACACCACAGCAGACGCGTTCCTGGGAGCTGGCAGGGGGACCTGTGTCACCGCGAGGGTGGTCAAACTGGAGGCACTGGGCACCTCAGGCACCCCAGTGTGACGATCAGCTCTATGCCAGACCCAGCTCAGGCTTCCTAAGGAAAAGGCAAGCAGAGGTAAAATTAAAAAACCTGGGCAGCAGCACACCAGGAAACCGCATGCGTTGGTCAAAAGCACCACCACCACGTTCCCAAAACAGGTTTTGAAGCAGGCAAAATGCAGGACACATCCCCTACCCCGGCCTCCTCCCCAAAGGAGCCTGAGAGAGAAAAGAGCAGCAGCGCAGACGCTGCCTCACCGCCAGGAGCTCTGGTGATTGCCCTTTTCTCAGGATCTGCTGCTCGCGCTGCAGCACCTGACTTCAGCTGAAACGCTGGCAGAAGGGAGAGCGTAAGGTAGATTTGGAAGCAGGAGGTGCCAGATCCACGCGTCTGCCCCTGCAGTGCTTCAGTTACCCTGCACGGGCAGGGAGGAGACCAACGTGCCCACCCCACCCACCCCACGACCCGGGCAGCGGCATTCAAGGCCCTAAGAAAGCAGATTTCCAAAATCCTGGTTTTCAAGTTAAGTATTTTTATTATCAAAATTATTACATCTCTTGTGAAAGTTCAAATGTTACAGCATGGTGTAAAAACTCCACTAGAGTAAGAAGCTACAGCCCCCACCTTTCCAAGAGCTTTCCAGGGTCCCTCCCTCCTGCCCCCCGCTGCGTCCGGAGGTGCTGGCGCCTCTGCGCAGGGCCCCCCTGGCCCCCTCCTGCCACCCGGCAGGGCAGAGCCCGCCTGCCCCATGCTGCTCATAGCATGAAAGGGGAGGCTGCACACCCAGGGCGAAGCTGAGCGAAGTTTACACCTATTTTATACAGTATACAGACACCCAACCGTGGGGTGACAAGTTCCATCCCAACACGCTCACAGCCAGACAGTGTGAGAAAGTTAACTCTTTGATTCAATATTTTAAAAGTCTCCCCTAGGTTGAACAAACACCTGATTTCAATTGTGAATTAGAGAAACCTGTAACAGTCCTAAAAAAAAAAAAAAAAAAGGAAGAAGACTGTGCATCTGAAAAGACAGGGGAGACAGACTCACAGCATTATGTTATCCAAGAGAAAGGAGAAGTTCCACTGCAGCACCAGGGATGACACCTGTCGTATATTAGCTAACCTACTATGGTTATAACTGAATATAAAATTAGATAAATAAAAACACGCCCGATATTACAGTAAACAAGTGAGAAAGAAGCTGGCAATCTTATGGAATTGAACAGACAGCGCACTGTGTTTGGGCTGGCTCTGCCGCCACGCTCAGCGGGAAGGAAATCAGGGTCCCCCCCAGCCTTGCCACAACCCGGACCCCCCCGGACCCGCCGCCACCTTCCTGCAGCCCCTCCGGACAGCCGCTGGCTCCTCAGCCAGCCTCGGGCACACCGCAGCACCGCCGTGCTTACCGGGGCGTGCGCTCAGAGCCCTGGCTGCAGCAGCACCCCCGGCACCGCTCCCGCTCCCCCCAGCTCCTCTGCAGCGCCAGGCACACGCGCTCCAACCGCCCCCCCCCTCCGTGCTCGTTCACATTTGCGGAGACGCCGTGGTCCTGGAAAACGCTCCGGCCGTGGTGGTCGTCACCCAGGCCCAAAGGCAGCGGCGTGCGCTCGTCTGCTTGTGACTGGAATGATCGTAAGGGGTTAAAGCCCTCCCCAGAACGCACCGAGAACCTGACCTACAAAGAGAGCTTTGGGATCGGAGTTAAACTTCCCCAATGTTTTCTTTAAACCGCTTTCGTATACAAAAGACGTCCGTACTGCATGAGTGACTATGGCCATGGGCACGGACAAGAGACAGAGGCTGCACCACAGTCATTGCACTTGAACCATTTTCTTTTTTTTTTTTTTCTTTTTTTTTTTTTCTCCTCTCTTCTCTTCAATGTACCCACGCATTAGGGAACAGCTTTGCTACAGTCTCTGCCTCAGAGAAATTTGCTTTCTCCTGCAAGGCCAGAGGCCAATACTGCTCACAAATCTCACCCGTGCGTTTCAGACCTCAGCCTCTGACCCCTGGCAGCCCAGCATCAGGTGCAAGCTCCCAACACCGGCCCAGGAGCCACTTCCAGAGGTGACTGGAAGGAGCTATGGGCAGTTTTGTCCTCCTGGAGTCCAGGCAGCCCTAGGAAAGTCCTGTTTGAGTCTTTACTCCAGAACCTTGAAGCTGCTGAAGTCTGTACTGATGGACACTGCTTCCCCCTCGGTGCGGGTAGTGTTGTGCATTGGAAATCACTCCCCCCCGGGAACCCTGGTAGAGAACAGACTGCCCCGAATTGGGCAGGCTGATAGTCCGCAAGTCTGACTGTAGTGACCGAGCACTTTGGGGAACGGAGGTGGAGCCCGACGCTCCTGTGCAGGGCTGGGAGCCAGGCTCGGAGGAAAGAGAGTCCACAGCCGTGGGCTGTGCTGGGCTGGCAGCAGCAGGGCAGCTCTTCTTCAGGAGGCTGCCGCCGGCACTGCCAGAGTGCTGCTGGCTGCTGTAATACACCGAGTTCCCCGCAAACAGGGCAGAGGAGTCTGTGGAGACCGAGTGGGCAGGGCTGGAGTACGAGGAAGAGGAGAGGGAGGTTTCTGAGGAACCGTGAGAGAGGCTGTGTCCTGTCCTCTGTGCTGCTGCTCGGTAGCTGTAGCCGGGAGAAGGAGTAAGGTGTCCTCTGTACGGGGAGGAGCTCTGCTGGAGAAGGGTCTGCGACTCGGCCTGGGGGCTGTCAGACTGCAGGAGCTGAGCAAGGGAGCAGGGGGGAAAAAAGAAAAGACACGTCAAGGAGACCAACTTCTGCACCTCCTACCTCATCGTGCTCCTGTTGCTTAGCGTGGCAGGCCTGGGAATAATTTCCAGCTAAAGCCATTTCCCCCCCCCGCCCCAATGCTGTTTAAAGCTTCATTTCAGAACTGGCAGGTAACAGATGACAATTTACCTGGTAGCTGTATCGAGAAGGACTGTAAACTGCTGGTCCTTTGTGGGCTTCTGGAGTGTCTCCTTCTGCTGTGTCTGCAATGTACAGCACAGTCAAGATGTTAAACTTCATCCCCTGGACTGAGGTCATGGCAGTTCCCTCTCAAGTGACGCCTGCACACTGCAGCTCTCTTGTTCTGCCTCCAGCTACAGCCCAGACAGGAGTGGCTTCTCCAGCCAGCAGCCTTCTGGAAGCTGAAGGACCCCAAGAGAAGGCAACTGGAAAAGCTTCACATGCATACAGCAGCCATGCACCTTAGGAACTGCTGCCTCCCTTGCACCACGTCTCCCTGGTTTAGCAGAAACCTCACTCGCTTTGGACCAGCCTGTCTGAAGGGCAGCCCCTGGTGTCTGCACACAGACTGCTTGGTAATTCAGACAGCCTGGGGCTTTCCAGAGGGATATGAGAGGCAGAAGACAGATTCTAAGGACTCAGCAATTCTCCGCTCAGCTTTGGTCAGAGGAATCCAACCTGGCTACCAGTTACAGCTGGGGAATTACAATCGGCCCTTCCTAGCCGGCTTGTCAGTAGGCTCCTGCTGCGGGCTGTCCTCAAAGGCAGATGGTAAGACCGGATGGTATAAAAAGCTATGACTTGTGAGGGGTAACACCAGCACAGCACACACTGATGCACCTTAGCTACATGAAAGAGAAAAAAAGAGTAAGCTTCTTAGTGGAGCAAGCTTTTCCATCACCCCAATCTTGCAGGTGTGCTTTTTTCCCCACCAAATATCTGAACCTGTACTGAGGGAGACAAGAAACACTGCAAGTGACCCACTCTGCCCCAGGTGTTTTTCTGTTACTGCTACTGTCACCATGGGGTCCAGCCTGTGAGCACGCTCTCTTTAGGAGGGAGGGAAACTGGTGGGACTGGGAGACTTCACATCAGATTTACGATGTTGCCGTCTGATGAGACGGAGTTGTTTATCTGCAGGATTTCTCAGCAGCAGTGTTTGAAATGCCGTGGTGAGATAGCACTGGTATTAGTATCAAATGTACATGACAGATGTCTCGGACCTGAAACAGGACACACTGCCTTGCTCTGCTCTGTACTTCTGCCAGACCAGCCTGGCTCTGTACCAGATGCACTGGCACAAGCAGCGGTGTCAGCAGCGCCCGTGGCTTTGCTGTGGTTGTCCTCTCTGTGCTGCATCACAGTCGCTGGCTTAACTAAACAGGAATCTGGATGGAGTTGTCTTGTCTGCTGCCGAGGCTCAGACATCTTCCTCGGGGCACAGGACCCGCACAGAGACTGGTACATGAAGCTTCCAGCATGTCCTGTGCCACCTTCCATTCTCTGAAACTACACCCAATGCACCAAGGAGCTGTTTGCTGTGGGTGGCATTCTGAGTACTGCAGTGCAGAAAGGCAAAGCTTGCAGTTTAGGGCATGTTTTGTTAAGCAGTCATGCACAGAAGAGACTAACTGCTCAATTCAGGAGATCAGAAGCTGAGTATGAGAATCAGGAGAAACCTAAAGACTTCTGGAATAAATTGTTTCTTAAAAGGCCAGGCACATCAACAGTGCTGCAGACATTACTGGCAGTGTCTGCTCACAGAAAAATCTTTGAAAATTTAAAGCCCATCTAAAGATGCTAAATTACAAAGTGTGAATAAACTATAACCTTCCTGAATTTGCTTTATGTAAATCTTAAGAAGACAAAGCCAACATTTCCCGCTCCTGTATCTGAATAACTGCACAAGGAAGGAC